AGTCACAGTCATCTCTTCTCCAATGTTTCTGACTCATTGTGGTGACACTTCACTGGCCCTGGGTCCCAATGTATCCATTAGGTCAGGACGAGCCTTCAGGAGTTTTATGTTTATTCCACAAGTAGTTTGGTGTATGCCTACCCATCAAGAATTATGGGCAGTGTACAGCAGGGCAGGAATACAATACAGAAAAGACTTCAACAGAGTCCCTTATAGTATAGATGAAGAAACTGAGAAATGTAAAGATTTTGAACAATTTCCCATGGATCTCCTACTTGATCTAACCAGAGGAAGAAAGGGGAAAATAAATGGTAGACAGATCCCAGATTAGAGGAAGTAAAAGCCTGATTTGACTGGTCCTGGACTGTCTCTTGCCCTGTTTTCTAGAGATTTGCCTTAAAAGGGCTTACAAAGGAATTATGAGCAACTGGCTTCTCTCTCCCCTTCTTTCTTTACCAGGCAGGAGAGACTGAAGCCTCCTCCCCACATTGAAAATGCAACCATTTCTTCCAGATATTCTCAGCTGTCTTAGTCTAGCTCAAGCCAACACTGCCCCCTTCTGTCCCTTTCTCTGTTTCCTTTTCTTCCTGGTGGCAGTAGAATGGGCTTTTCTCTGAATTCTAAGCCTCAGGTGGGAAATACCCAAGACCTCCTGGCTGTTTTGTTTGTGTCCGGAAAGGGGACAAAGGCCAGTTTCTCTGCAGGGTTCTTTCTGCCCAGGGGAATCCAAGCCACCCTAAAACTACAATCTCAAATAAGTAGTAAATAACAAAACACAAAAACTCAGAAATATATTTACACAAGATGAAGCCTCTGATCTAGTGCACATGGGTTCTAGAACTCGACAAAGGGGAAATAGCTCCAGTTATTTTATTTAAGGGGATACATCAAAGGCAAGGATGAAGTTTCAAGGGCTTAGTTTTGCTTCATGATGTCCTGCAGTCAGCAGATTGATTGACATTTTGGCAGGTAACATCCATCTCAGGTGCTGTGTGGGCCCAGCAGAGTGGGAAAGAAATTTACATTATCCCTGGGCAACTGACCAGAGTAAATGTCCACTGGCCATTCACAGATGTCTCTATCCATGAGGCTACCATGCCTGGTGACCCACATACAACCCACAAACAGCTGGTGACAGTTATGAGCTACTAAATTACCTAGATCTAGCCACTTTAAGAAAAGAAATCTTTGGAGAAAGAAAGCGAGAGGGAGGAAGGGAGAGAGATGGAGAGAGAGTGAGAGAGAAAGGAAGGAAAGGAGGAAGGTCAGAACTTTGGATGAAGTTAAGTCCAGTTTACCAGGCTGGTTGGTAGGTATGCTCTGGGGTTGGGGCTAAAACTTCTTGGACAGTCTCTGGTCCTCTAGTTTGTGGCAGGATTCTGGCATTTCTCATATTCTGCTATAAAATGCTCTACCAGACTATAGGGTGGTAATATTAGCCAACAAAAGCTTACAGTTAAATCCAATGTGAAACATTATGGGAATCAGTGTCTGATGGAGGACTCAAAACAGAGGTACTATAAGACAAACTCTTTTCACTTTTATTCTCCAAACCTGATTTCCAGGTTGGGTTCATTGTGGCCACACCCTATTGGCC